CGAAATCTTAATAATACGGAGCATAATATTGATGCAGTTTCATTCAAGTTTGTTGGCGGATTCTTGCACATAGAACGAGCAGAAGTGAATTAGAGGTGAACATGTGCACGAAGCGGCCCACACAGATGCAATTACACGTCGGCGATGCAGCGAGAGGCTTAATTAGCAGACTGCACACGGGCAAACTTGTCATCAGTATGCACAAATGATTATTAATATTATCCACGAGTGAGAGAGAGAGACGCAGCCGGCGGCAAAGAGTCCCTGCTCCATCCGGCGACGAATCACAAACACACTCAGCCAAATTGAGCTGCATCGGCAGAGTACTATGCCATATAATGCTAATGCTTTCACGGTAATGACGCCGCCGCCGCGACGGCAATCTATCCTTATTTGCACCTGAAAAGAGCACAGACTGACTGGGTCGCGGCGCTTTGGCCCGCCGAGGCAAGAAAATATGAACTCGACGAGAGCGCCGTGTTATATTTATTATTTTACCTCCATTCTGGGCACGCATCAATCTAAATCCCGACGCACGCAAACAAACACTACTCGTATGCAAACTCACACACACACATGAAAGGTGGTGCGTAATGCGATGATGACGGTAGTGCCAACAACCCTGTCTGCTCCATCTCGCTACTTCATCTTTCACGCACTCGTTCCCAACACAATGGGGTTGTGGAATTGATGCAGAGTGAAACACGGACGCGGAAAATCTGATTGAATTTCAATGTGTTAACTGCAAAGAATAAAACTAATTTTCATTGCAAGGAAAACTGGAAAATGTAATGAATTGGGAAGTGAATTATAAAATGTGTAAAACAGCAGATATTGTACAAAGTTGCACTCAATAAGTTTAATGAAATATATTTGAATCTGAGACAATAAAAAATAAGTACCAACAATTTTAATTTAATTATCCAATTATTGTGTTTTTTTTTTTTTGTGAAGTGGCAAATGATTATTTATCACATTATATTTCTGAAAATCAGATGTATGAATAAAGTTTTGTTTAAAGAAAATTTATATTACTAAATTTTAAACAAATTAATAAAATTTATTTATTTAAAAACGATAAGAGATAAATTATTTGCTATATTAAATGATAATTACATAACAATTAAAAATTTATTACTTAAAATATTAAAATTTAAACTTTTTTCATTTTTAAGCTTCAAATTCAAACATTTGAATAAGGAATTTAGATACATTTTTAAAATTTAAATTTTTTAATTATTTTAAATATTTGTATTGAAGTTTACCCTAACAATAAATAATGATAACTTTGGATTCGATTCTCACAAGCGAGTTTAGTATAGACAAATTATGAATATTTATATGGTTTTTATTCAAGTTGTAATCAATTTTCTTGCATGAATAATAATTACGAATAATTGTAATGATAATAAACTGCGGAATAGTACCATTACTACTAATTAAGTTGTTCCTACAATAATTCTGTTTGTTGTTAAAAAAATATATACTTTTCAGGTAAATTTTTGTTTTCTGTCAATTAAATTTTTTTTATAGACGTTGCATGCAAAAAGCCTGCGTTGAGCTTTCTTTCTTCAGACAGTCAATTTCCACCACCCCCGTCGCACGTGATTCGGTTTGTGGGCACTTTTGTTCAGAACACGCGCTATTTTTCTCGGCGCGCATTATAAAATCATGATAGAGTATTTTTATCGCACGGGCAAGATCAAAAACTCTAATGAATACTAATCGACTCGCTCCATCTCGGCCGTACCTGCCGCATTTTTGCGCCGTGGCAATAATGGGGCCGAATAAAAAATGGGCTTAGCATGATGGATGCTCTTTCGCATTACAGATTCTGCCTGCCACGCGCGCACTACAAATTCAGCGCTCTCGCATTTTTTATATTAAAACGTCGGCCGCCTTTTTATGTTTTTCTGATGGCGCGCCATTTGCCCGGCTGCCAAAAATCCTCGCGCCCCACGCACACTCGGCGCAAAAACAAACGACCTGCACTTTATACTTCCACGCATGTTCCGCACTTTTTTTTTGTAAAAAAAAATTCACAACGCTCACCTCGATCATTCATTCGCAGGCGGCGAGACCTGTTGATTGGTTTGTCAAATAAATAAAGCCCGCAGAGATCTGTTTGTGTCGGTGATAAATGCAAAAGGAGATTTGCAGCGATTTTTTTTCACTCCTTACATGATTAGTTTGCACAGGGGAGAGAAGACGACTTACTCACTTCTTTTTTCTCTCGATCGACGGAATTTTTCTTAATTTAATAGCTTTTTAGAGGAAGAGGGAGTAATGAAAGTTTCGGCGATGATGAATTATTACTTGTCTTATCATCGCTCGCCACCCTTCATCGCCTCAGCTGCAGCCTCTCTCTTAGCTCCTGCCGCGCGGGGATTTAAAGTTGTGTAATAAATCACGTAATGAAACGCACAGCCCGCAAATCACGGCGAGTGACTTGTTTGCTTTTTCCCGCTTCCTCTCGCGTTTTTACGGCTAATTTTCTAAATCTTTATCGTACGTTCAAACATAGGAATGAGGGATGCGTTCAGTGTTTTTTTTTCGTTCATTTGTAATTGATTGTAAAATATATAGAAATAAATGTAAGTTTCAAGTTGCTACGTAAAGTATTTTTATTCAAAAGTAATGAAATCCATGCTTTTGTTAAAAGAAAATCTAAAAAAAAAAATCTAATATGAATGTCAAAAGTAATTATTTCTAATTTCAATTCAACTCCAAGGCCCATTAAAAAATATAATTAAATATTTGAGCTAATAATAAGTCTTATTACCAATTTTTTGTAAATATATTTATAGTTTTTAAGTCCCTTTTAAGGAAAATTGAGAAAATTATTATGTATGTCCCTTCATATGAAGCATTATATTTTTATTAGTTTTTTACTTACTATTGTCAAATTAATAATTTTAAGCAAAATTCAAAATAACGCCTTAAATAATGTCTTAAATAGTCCAATAGTCACGATAGAGTCAATAAAGTATTTATTTTCCTTAATTCATTTTTGTCTCACTTATTTGAGATCAGAATGAATTTTTTCAACATAATCTCGTCGCCAGAACGAATTTCCAAGCGAATTTTAAGAGAAAATGGCATTTTTCAGCATTTTTTAGATTTAAAAATGCTATGCTGAAATTTAAATAATGAACAAAGTTAAAATTAAGTGATATAAGATATAATGTGAGATCTTTAAATTATATTTGTAGAAATTTCTCCTCTTTTTATATACTTATAAAAATGAAATGCAACCTGCTAAACACCATTGCGAAGCGGGCTGCATACATATTAATTATTCAGTCAACTGAACATGTGGATGAATTTATTTTTGTACATATTGATACAACCAGAGGAAAAAGCTGGTGATATTTTTTTTTATAAAAAATTTCTGCTTATTCACAGAATGATGCGCTTATGTGGGGAAAATGTTCAACTGCAAACTGCAGCTTGTAGGTAGGTCGAACAGGATAAATCCGAGCTGCGAACACTAATTAGTCTAATTACAGCGATTTTACGTAATTCTAATCACATCTCTCTGGAGTGCCCGGAGGGACAAACGCCGCTCTCTCGTGTTGCATGTGTGCTCGCGTCTGGCTGAGCGTTGGTGGGTTTATAAATCCAGCAGTGGCGGTAATCACAAAGATTGCCCCATAATCGGATTAAACCACTTTTAGCCCAGATTGGAGACTTTTATTTTGTTTGCAGCTGCAGCAGCTCCGGCCGGACCGCAGGAAAAAGGGCGAGAAACGAGTCATTAGGAAAAATCGAAATTGCCACGAGAGTTCGCTAATAATACCTCGTTTGTCTCTTTTAATGCGTTGCTTGTTTTATTTTTTGCCCTCGTCCGATAAATTCCCTTTATTTCCGGCCGGCGTTGTTGCCTGGGCTGGAGTTCGCACAGAGTCATTTATTTGTTTGGCGAGATATGACGTACGGACATGCAGTGCGTGTAATGACTACTACATGTGCACACTCGACGCTGCTGGACAGAAGTTACAATTTGTCATGAGAAACGGGCAGCCTAGAGGAGTGGAGAGAGAGAAAGAGAGCAAAAAGCGCCGGATATGGCGTTAAAAATACAACTATTTGTCACTCTGTCTGCGCGACGGCGGCAGCGACTGACCTTTCACCGTCCCAAATGAAAAATCATCACCGTGAAATACAATTTTTCTCTTGCTCTTCGGTGCCGTCGTTTCTGCCTCTTCACACACGGATGATACGGACCCTCTCAAAAATTGTAAGAAAAAAAAATGCTTTTGCCTTTTCTTTTTCCAGAGGTTGGGAACACTTAAATTAGAACAAATTATTTTAGATAGACGATTTTATTAAACACATCTAGTGTGCAACTTTAGCACATTAATTTAGATTTTAAATTTTAAATAAATTAGGATGTAATCCTAAAAGCAAGGTCAGAGCTACTGTTGACTTGAAGTCCATTGACGGTATTCAACAGCAAAATACAAAAAAAAATTAACAAATTTTGGTCTCTAACAATTGGATTAAAATTTAAAAATAGTTTAAGTATGTCATTGAGACGAACAGAATTAAAAGATAAAATTTTTCACTATTGATTGTTAAAACGCTAAGAAGAATTTTATCAATTGGATTATCTTCAGCTCTAAAATCTCTATCAATCTCAGAGAAGATAATAAAAAGAGTTTCCATAAAGGCCTTAATGTTACAAAGGTCAAAAGATCCAGTACTGCCGACTGTAAAATGTACATTAAATTGATAAGAAATCGTCATTAAAAACCATTAACCACTAAATGCGCAACCTCAACAACAATATAATATTATTGTATGATCCTTCTCACAAAAACCTCTTCTAATAAAATATTATGGCCTTTAAATTTTATACATAAACACTAATAAAAATTCATCTTAAGTCTAAAAATATTTATAATAGCACACAATAAACAATAGTGATCGATGGAAAAATAAGTTATTTTTGCTATCGAATGGGTGTCGTCACAAATGATAAGAAAAATCTCGTCGATAAGAGGCGTTGTCGAGATCGACATGTTAATTGGTCGTCAGACGTTTGTGCATCCAGCCGAGTAAGTAATAAAATTAGCACATATTTTTATTTTATTCTTTTTTTGAAACTACTGCAGCTGTTGGAACAACTTTATCCGCAAATAATTTAATTGCCCCGGCTGAACTTGCGCACATTATCTCTCTCTTTAGCCTCTCCTCTGCATTCGGATTACTGTTATTGTCCTGTTAATTGCAGCAGCCCTTGTTTGGGCGAAACGGCCACTTATGCGCCACCGCACGGCTTTTATGACACTTTTTATGCCTCCGAACTTGCGTGCGCGCGCTCAAAATTAATTGCAGTCGGTGCGCTTCGAATTAAATCTGGCTCTGTTTATGGCGCGAGCCCTCGTTAAAATATTTCGGCTGATGGACGGCCCAGTATCAATCATCACCCACGAGAGAGAGACAAATCCGCCCACGATGAATTCAAACCTGACATGTTGATCCCGTGTTTACAATACAAAGATAGACGGATCAAATTAATTTTGGGTTGTAATTCATTTGATTTTGTGATATTTTGATGTTTTCATTTATCTCTCAAGTTTTAACTCTCGTGTTAAAAATTAAAATTTAAAACTAAAACTCGGTAAATTAAAAGATTTACTAAAGACAATTTGACTGAAAAATTGGATATAAAAAAAAATATGGTGCACATTGCAAACAAAATTTTATAAATTGATAAGTGCTCAAACGCACAAGTAGTAGGTTTGCATTATTAAAAAATCTGAAAAAAAGAATACTAAATAGAGAAAATGGATTTAAAACTGCATAAATGTAGAATTTAAATCATTTTTCAATTTTCAATAAATGATTCTTGAAATATTTTGATTAAAAATATTTGATTTAATTTATAGAATTCTATGAAAAGAGGTCAAACATCAAAGATAGATTAATTGTTTCATTACTTGGTCTATTTCCCCGACTTAAAATTACATTTTCAGGGAACGGAGAGCGCAAAACAAAATTACTGTGAAATTCCATCAAAAATCAACATATACAAGCTAATCTAATTTCTGACACGATTCCAACCAGTATTTCTCTCGTGATTACACACATGCGGACGATCATTGGTATATATATCTGTGTGTATATCTCTCCAGAGTGGAATATAAATTGCACAATTATTCGCCTTGTGCCGCACGAGCGGTCCGTTTGAAGCAACAAACAAACAAAGACGGAATTTCCGGCCTTCGCGTCCCTTGCATGTTTGTGGCGCGCGCGAGACAAAAGAGCGTTTCCGGAACGGCTAGCTGCGGAAATTTATTGTGCTGCACTCGTCGAACAGCATCTCACGAGAAACTCGCCGATTCCATTAATTAACCCGCTGGATCAAATTAATCAAAGTGAGAGAAGGATTTAGCTATATCAGCGCAGGAAAACCCCAGCTATCTCTGATCTGCTCATCAACTCGCTTTTTTAAATGCAGCAGGGGACAATCCGAAAATTTGGAATCTCTACCTCTTGAGTGCTGATTAAATTAAATTGCGTCTGTTAAAGATACTGAAAGACACTATAATAGATTATATAATTACACAGATCTCTCGTCAAGCGAAACGTCATGTTTTTATTATCTATGAAGTTTTAATAATCTTATTTGAATAAAGAATAAATTTTGAATTTTAACTCTGATAAAAAAGTAGGTGTATAATTATGTTAAATTTTTAATTGATTGTTTACTTTTTTGCTTATTTTTGTTTATTTTTCAATAATAAAACTTTGAAATAAGGTTATATAATTACGTTTGTAAATTTATATTTATAATTTTAAAATATTATCAAAATTAATAATTTTTATTATAATTTTAATTATCTGGAAGTTTTTTAATTCAAACTTAATTTGCATATAAAAATTATTCTGGCTCTGGCATTAAATTTTTTTGCAGACTCTTAACAGTAAAGTTAACTAAATTTCAACTTTTTTTAATTAATGCTCATTGGCAGGACAAGAAGATCTTAGATCTTGTAATAAACTCTGAATTATTGTTCTTTATTACTTTTCCCCTCTTTGCTTTTAAACTTATTAATTCTTAACATTATTAAAGTTTAATTTTATGGTAGCTTTTCTCAGTCTTTTATAATTAATTAATGTTATCAGTAACATCACTTTTTCTACACTTTAAGAGTAAAAAAAGATTTTGATCGATTTCAGATATGATTGAAGTAATTTTGCTGGTGATCCTGTTCTTCTCTGCCTGGTACCTTTTAACCAGGACCAAGCATGAGGTGGACAAACTGCCTGGGCCGCCGGCGATACCACTTTTCGGCAACTCCCTGAGCTTTGCGACTTCGAGAGAAGGTGCGTGTGTGTGCGCCTCTGTTATTTACCCGCAAAGGTGTATGTTTGTGTGTGTGGGTCTAACATTATTATACTACCCGCCGCACACGTTAGAAAGCATAGTCGGGCTCATTAGTCCCCTAGGCTGAACGTGCGTGCGTGTGCCATTTTATTGCCGCGCAGCTTTTCGCCGCAGCAACTTTACGGCGCCGCGCGCTCTTCGAACAATTTCATAAGAAACAGCTCCCCGTGTCACAATTCAAGAATTATGTCCTCTTTAGGCGCGCATTTCCTCTCATTGCGAATCGCAGATAAGAAGAAGAAGAACACGCACTTTGCAAATGGGAACTTTTCCAACGCCAATCTCGCGCACCCCCTTAATTCTTGCTTTAGTTCGATTTTACTGCTTTTTCGTGTGCTGGTGAAAAATTGCCCGATGGCACGTGTTTGAACTCTTATTTGCATTTTATTTTGAAAATTTCTCTCAACTTTATTCCCGGCAGAGTCGTATAAATACATGATGCAGCTCACGAAAACCTATTACCCCGTGTTGCGAACCTGGATGGGGCCGACGCCGGTTATCCACCCCCTGGACCCGAACATCGTCGAGGTAACCGGATGATTAGAAAGTTTCAAAATAAGCCAAAGTTGCGAATTTCCGCTGCAGATCATCCTCACCAGCAGCCAACACATCACCAAGAGCTTGGAGTACGCTTTCATTTCGGACTGGCTTGGAACTGGCCTCCTCACCAGCACAGGTGAGAATTTCCCTGATTATCTTCCAACATTTTCAACAAGCATCTGGGAAGGACATTAAATTTTAACTTTTTCAAAACATTTACTGGCAATTTTTTGAATGCGCTTAAAAGATCATGAAATTCGTGGATTGTAAGAATTAAAGCAATATTTAAAAGCTGCATGATTTTTGGTCTTCCTGCTTAAATGGGTTTAATTAATATTGTATTTTGAGATTACTTTTTTAACTTCTGAACTATTTTGCGTAAAATTATCTCTCTTGGAAAAATTCATATGAATTCTCATTCAATACTTTTGGGTTACTGCACAATAGTTATTAATATTTTCGAAAATTCTTTTTAAAACTTCAATACAAAATGATTTTATTTCTATAGAAATTGGAGGAGCGTGCCTTACGGAAGTATATATCGTCTTTTGCTGTATTGTAAAAATCTGTGCCGTCATTATTTTGAGACTAACAAAGAAAGCACAAAGATTAAATTTTATTTAATTTTAATAAGAAAATCTGTGAAATATCACTAAATAAAAATTATTTGAACATTTTTTTTTCTTAAAGATTGATTTGCCTGGGAATTTCACTTCTATTTGTGCAAAAAAATCGCATGTTTTATGGAGAAAAATAATTTTTTTAGCTGCCCAACATCAATAATAAAATCAGTACAAAAATAATTTCCTAAGTCGTTAGAAAACACTGTTATAATAAATTTATTTAATTCATTTATGTTTCCTGCAGGTTCCAAATGGCATTCGAGGCGAAAAATGCTCACGCCAGCATTCCATTTCAAGATCTTGGAACAATTTGTCCCTGTTTTCGGCGACAACACTGCAATATTGGTTGATGTTGTCAAGAAGAAGATAAAGAGCACTTCCGGGCCCATCAACATTGTGCCGCTGGTCACCCACTGCGCCCTTGACATCATCTGCGGTGAGTGATGAGAGAATTCCACTCTGCGCGCACCTGCCGACTTTCGCACGCCCGGAGATGAGAATATTGTCACTTAGACAAATCTGCTTTTGTCTCCATTCACGCGCAAAATTCATTTTGTCTTCGCTCACTCTGCTTATTTTCTTTTGTACTTTTCCAGAAACTGCCATGGGAACGGCCGTGCATGCCCAAACTGACAGCGAATCCAAATATGTTTCAGCAATGTACGAGTAAGTAAATTGAAATTAATATTTATTTATCTGGAATTTTCAATAACTTAAATTCAATAAAATTATTATTAAAAACTTATGCTTTAATTTTTCTTAATTTATATAGTTCACTTTCGATACTTTTTGGACTTAATTTAAAAGCTTTCCTTGGAAATTTTTTATGAATCACAAATTTTTTTGTCTTTGCAGAATTTCGGACTTGATTGTTCATCGGATGCTGCGTCCGTGGCTCCACCCAGCCTTCATCCACGATATGACGCCCACGGGAAGAAATTTCAAGCGCTGTCTCAAAACTTTGCGCGGCTTCACAAATAATGTAATGGAAGCCTTAAAGTTTTCAGTCGAGCATAAAATTACCACGCATCCCATTTAATATTCAATCCCACGTCATATTCTTGTCCTCTCTCTAGGTAATTCAGGAGCGCAAGACAGAGTTCCGGAAGAACAAGGCTAGTGGGAAAGTGAAACATGGCGAAGACGAATTTGGTAAAACTGCCACCTTAATTAAGTAAAACAAATTTTAATTGCAATTAAAATTTCAGGCGTGAAGAAAAGAACCGCGTTTTTGGACTTGCTATTGGAGGTGAGTGACGAAAAAAGAACACTTTCGGATGAGGACATCAGAGAAGAAGTTGATACTTTTATGTTTGAGGTAATTTATAATGAAAAATTTAAAAAAAATTACATACAAAATTTAATATAAATAAGGGTCACGATACAACAGCCATGGCTATGAGCTGGGCGCTGTACTTCCTTGGCTGCAACCCTGATGTCCAGGTTAAAAAACATCAATTTATAAAAGTAACTTTTCTTGTAATTTTTGTTATATAATTAGCAAAAATGCGTGGAGGAACTTGATGAAATTTTTGGTGGCGACGACCGAAAACCGACAATGAACGACTTAAATCAAATGAAGTATTTGGAACGGGTCATCAAAGAAACCTTGAGACTGCGGCCCTCGGTGTTCATGATTGGAAGGCAGGTCACAACTGACCTCAAATTTGGTCAGTTTTAGGACAAAATTAAAGTATCTCCTTAAATTAACTTTCAAAATCAGGAGGTTACACCTTTCCAAAGGGAACAGGCATTTACATGCACATAATCAGTATTCACCTAAACCCAAAAGTTTTCCCCAACCCCGAAAAATTCGATCCGGACAGATTTCTGCCTGAAGTTGCACTTGGCCGACACCCTTACGCCTACATTCCATTCAGTGCTGGACCCAGAAATTGCATTGGTATTGCTTTAGTTTGAAATTTCACAATTTAATCAATCGATTTTCTATTCAGGGCAAAAGTTTGCGATGCTCGAACAAAAAACTCTTCTATCAACCATGCTCAGAAATTTCAAGCTACGAACGGTCGATCCTGAGAAGAGCAGTGTTTACATCCCGGATTTGATTTTGAGACCTAAACATGGAATTGATCTTGAGATAACTCTGCGTCAATGAGTATCATTTTCAGTTGAAAACTTTGTTGCTCAATAAAAAAGTGATAAAAATTTAACTTTTTTATTCAAACAACCTCAATATTACTGATAAATACAGCGTTAAATAAAAATCTAGCATTCATATTTAAAGGAACAGAAAGTCAAAAATTAAAAGACTCTTCTTACCACAGAATTAAAAGTTGCATTGCGCCACTACAACTTGAGCAATGGCCTCTTGTTCAGGATCAGGGTGGAGATTCAGGGTTTGGCTGGCTTTGATAAAGAGCGCTTGGCCTTGCTGCAGAGTTAATTTTGGGCCGTTGTCCACCGAGTACAAAGCAGAGCCCAGCGAGAGAACCACAGTCGGGCCTCCGTTACTGACAACAGTCGTGACAGGGTCCCCTTTCTTCAACTAAAATAAAATAATCAATGATAAAAATATAATAAAATGAATTTTTTTTAGTCACAAACCATAATATTCAGGATGGAAAAGTCCTTGATGCCATGAGGAATGTACTTTGTGCAGTTTTCAGTCAGCTTGAGAACGTCCATGTTTGCGGAATTGTCGGCCGGTTCGTACTCGAGCATCGAACATAAGGTGTCGACGTCTTTCAATTTTGGAGTTAGACCTCCTCTGACGACATTGTCAGAACAAGCCATCAACTCGATACATTCTGAGGTGCAAAATCAATTTTATAAAATATGTATACTCAAATTTAAATATAAAAATACCAACCTCCCTCAATGTAAGCATGAATTAAGTTAGCGGGCAAGAAAGCAGCCTCGCCAGGAGCCATTTCGTAGTCCTGGAGGAAGTAGACGCTCAGACAACCCACGTCCCCTGGGAAGTGACTGTGCAGTTTTTCCAGCAGATCGGCAAGACAAGCACCTCGAGTTGCCTCATCTGAAATATTCAAGTAATATTTAAATTTTGGTAGTTCAATTTGTTTTGTCGCTAATAAATTCCTACCCAAAGTGCTGACTCTTGACAAGATTTGATTAAGACAATGGCTAACTTTCTCGTCAGAGGCAGTCATCAGCGACCTATAGGCTTGTTTCAAAGCTGCTTGCGCTGTTTCGGAATCGCAGGAAGCCAAGAAGTCAGCGCTGTCGGCACCAAGGACGTCCCTCAACTCTGGGACAGCTGAATATTTTTACAGATTATTTTGTTTTTCTTCTTATATTCCCACTTACATTGAAGGTAGTTTTTGATGTCGGAAACAGGTCGGAATCCTCTGAGCATCAGGAACTTTGAAAGTGTGATCAGCATCTCTGGTTTGTGATTTGGGTCTTTGTAGATGTCCGGGAACTTGGCGTGCAGTTCTTCTGCGTGTGCCTGATTTAAAAAATGTTCAAGTTTTACATTTTAGCCAAAAATTAAACAAAGTTTTATTTATACCTTGAGGGGATGAGCCTGAATGGACAACGGCTTGCTCACAGACAGAACTTTCAACAGGAAAGGGAGCTGCACCCCAAACCCCTCCTTCGTCTTCTCCCCGACACTCTCTGGATTTTCCGTAATATATTCTGCCAAAGTTTTAGTAAATAAGTTGTTTAATTGCGCCGACTTTCAATTTTCTCCCAATCCGACTTTTCCATTTATATGTATAACATGTCAAGAAATAAATAAATTGAAAAATCGGATTAGAGAAATATCATAAAATTATTAAAAAAAAAATAATTATTATAAACCTGAGAGCAATTTTCCGTTCTCTTTGAGGACAGACGGCCCATTGATGTGGGTTCCGATCCAAATTTCTGCGTGAGGTCGGTCCAGTTTTCCGCCTGTGATCGATTCGGCAGCCCTGGTGGGGTCATTTTTGCGGGACAGCTGGTGTACGTGGCAGTTGGGGTCACGACTGCCCCAGTCGTAAGTCTGCACTTTGCAGAGAAGCTCCATCGTAAGCAATTTACACGCAAATAAGATACGCAGAGAGCCGGCTGAAAAAAATGACAAAAGGGGGCGTGGCAGTAAACAAAGGAGAACACATGTTTTTTGTTATCGCGTTTTGCAAACACTTGTCTCTCTTTCTTTTCTCTTGGCTATTTTTCAATGAATCAAGGACAACGATGAGTGCAGCAAGAAGTGAGGTTCTGAGTCTGTACAAGAATATTCTGAAATACGGAAAACAGATCAAACTGACCGACAGAGACTACTACAAGCAGAGAATCAGGAAAGAGTTCAAAAGCTTCAAAAACCTTGACGCCGCTGAAGACATCCAGTTTCACGTTGAGGTTTGTTGATCTATTTGTATTTTATTCATATTTAAAATTTAAAATAATAAATATTTAATTTTTTTAGAGGGCCAAGGCTTTTCTCGACAATAAGAGAGTAATTTAATTGACTAAAATGTTTCTCTCGTCGATTCTCCGAAAGCCGGTCTTCTTTTGGCAAATCCACAGAAATTCCCTTCACCTCTACCCATGTCTTTTACGGCAGACTGTCGACTATTCCAAGGTTCCGGTCCTGAATGAAAATGAGCTTGAAGAACAGTTTGTGAAAGGTCATGGACCAGGTGGCCAAAATGTCAACAAGCGGTCAAACTGTGTGCTTTTGAAACATCTTCCGACTGGTACGTTTTTGTGATAAATCTTTTCTGTCAAAATATCAATGATTTTTGTGTGTGTGCAGGATTAGTTGTGAAAGCGCACCAGGCAAGACTGCTGGACACCAATAGAAGAATAGCCCGTGAATTGCTAGTAGATAAGCTAGACCAGCTCAGAAACGGAGAAGAAAGTGTGGCAAGCCAGAAGAAACGAATCGAGGAGCGGAAAAGTAGTAAAAATGAGTCCAAGAAAAGAAAAATGCAAGAGCTCAAAGCTGCTTGGAAAGAGCGAGAGGGCAATTTGTAATTTTAGATTTTATTCTTAATTGATTTGAATAAAAATTATTGAAATGGAATTTGACGTTGGTTTTCATTTCAGGCAGACCAAGGTGCAATTTGCAGTAGAGAAAAAGATTTTTACTGGATTCAGTCTTCTGCAAAACCCAATCTTTAATATCGTGCGTTTCATGAGCACCATTGATTATTCAAAAGTTCCAACAATAGACGAGGCTGATCTTGAAGAGCAAATAATCCGAGGCAGTGGCACTCATAAAGACACCAACTGCATTTTAATCATTCACAAGCCAACAGGTACGAGCTTGAATTGCTTGAGTGAATTTTATAAAAATAATGTTTTTATAGGAATTGTAGTCAAAGGATCAAAGTCAAGGAATCTGATCGAAAATCGCAAAATTGCTCGAGAAATTTTGATTGAAAAGTTAGATCAAAAACTAAATGGCGAGAAAAGTGTTGCTGCCCAGAAGAAACGGGTGGAGGCACGTAAAAGCAGCAATAGAGATTACAAGAGGAAAAAATTGCAGCAGTTGAAGGAAGCGAGTAAAGCAAACCAAGTAGAATAAATTGTGGAAAATTACAAATAAACCTTTTATTGAGAAATTTTCTCAAATAAAAGTAAATGCTTTTTAAATTCGCCTATATTTGAACTCTAGGTTTTGTAAACAGCTTGCGAATTTTTTTGGTGCCCATGGATGTGGGTGGATCTTGTGATTTTTGGGCCGTTGTTTCCTCCTCGTAAGACTTTTCAAGAATCTCGGCGGCAGCAAACAATTCATCATCACTATCAGAGTCAATTTCAATAAAGTTTGTTCTTGGTTTGGCTGGATTCACTTTTGACGCAGTGGCTGAAGTACTCGGATCTTTCAATTTCTGTGCCTCATTGCTGCACTCGGCTTCAAGTCTTGGCTTTTTGGGTGGATCTACTTCTTCTTTTTTCCCACTGGAATGCACAGATCTTGTCTTGTCCTCGGCAGGGAAATATTTGCACTACAATTATTTTTATCAGCACAAATATTATTTTACTCTTAAATAATTTACCAAATTTCCTCCGTTGCACTCGTACTGGTGGACAGCCAAGGCAAGATTGATCTTCTCAAAAGTTATAGTTGGATCGCAGTTGTCTTTGATGGCTGTCAATCTTCTCTCCACTGTGTGTGAATAATTAATGGAAAAAAAATTCTTCATTAATCAATGTTCTTACCCTGGCCCACTTTCTGGTTAGCAGCTATGATCTGTTTGTAATCTCTTAGGGTCAAATTAAGTTTCTTTAAATTAACAGGTAGTCCAATCTTAATGGCAGCAATAAGGTCACTCACGATGGTTGAGGATTTCACACCTCTGCAAACCCAATTATAAATTGTTATTGCTTAAGTAATTACCAACATGCCTGATTTGCTCCAATTCTGAAATGCTCCTGTCATTAATCTCAAAGCCGACAAAGGTGATTCGCTGCTTGTCGGTAAGTTGGGTCAATCTGTTGGTCAACTCACTCCCTAGTTTTTGCATCACTTTGATGATTTCCAACTTTTGGTCATCGACCGAATTTGCCGACATGGATGAAGATGTGAGAGGAACTGTTCAAGTGGGCGGCCGAGATGATTTGAATGCGTCCATTTTCAGGCCCTTTGCAGTACAAAACTTGACAATTATGTCACACAATTGCTGGCCAAATTTAGCAATCTTGGCTTCGTTGAATTCAGAAACTGCAATAATACAAAATTTTTAAATTGGATTAGTTTATACCAAAAAGTTTTATAATAATAAATTTTACTTTTAACCAAGTCTTCTTTTTTGCTTGGGCGGAGTTTTGATAGCTCCAGAAGGCCTTTGTTGTTGGCAATCATGTAAGGCATAATGTCCAGATCACTGGCAATATCAGATCTGACTTTGATGAGCTCGTCATAAAGCAATTGCTAGATACTGAATGTTAGAAAATCTGAGAAACATTAAAATTTATCTAGGGCTTACAATTTTTTTCGAGTCTTCTTCACTCTCTTCTTCCTCTTCTGGGTGCTCACTTTTGACTGCCCAATTTAAGGCCTTTTTAAATCTGAACCTTTCCAAATCTTTATTGATTTCAGCATCCCTACGAAAAAAAATTGTTATGGCCAGTCTAAAAAAACCTACTTTTGTTCTCACTCATCATCCTTGATGATAGTTGTTGTGGCTATGCTTCCCATTCTCTCCTTTCTGTGTCCATCTTCTTGAACAATTGCCTTTATGTCTCTGGGCATCTCTAGCAGCAGTTTCATTAAAGGATTTTCCTTAAAGCTGCCAAGTAAAATTAGAACATTCCGATATCATACCTATATCAAATCACATACTTGAGTAAAAACTGCTTGCCCTTGTTGGCCACTTTGAGGTAATTGACAGGAAACTTTCCGTAATCAGCAAACTGCTTAGTGTGCACATCCAAATACTTTTCTCTGATCAGCATCTGGCCTGGATATTAAAAATTAAAGCCAACTATTTTGAGACAAATTTTGACGAGCCTCACCTAAGCTCTTCCACCATCTCTCAGATTTGTGCTTCCCTGCTCCATGAGACGGGCAGCTTGTTTTACCACTCAGCTTCTTGCTGTTAGAACCTCTCAGTATAAGCACCACGTTACTCAAACTGCTAAGCCCTTGAGCCTCCTGAACAGCTTTGATGAAGATATTTGCATCTTGAGCAAAATCGTATTCGTCCGCAGAAATTTTCTTCCCACCGTCTTTGGCTTTCAAACTATTTTAAGATTATTCATTACCAACACCATTAAATGCATAGTGATTAAATTTACAATTGAATGCAATTGTCACAGCACTCTTCGTGGCGATTCAGCTTCAGCGACTTTCCTTCAAAGTGGGTCAACAAAAACTGCCGACGACACGATCGAGTATCCTCGAGGTACTTGGTCATCTCGGCGGTCATTTCTTCCTTGTGCTTCCTGTGAGCTGGGTTTGTGATGTCATTCAGGAAAAATCTGAATAGTTGAATAGTAAAATTTGTAATTTTATATGTATTTGAGAAATTACTGTGCAAGTCTGAAATCCTTTTGTGCGTACAACACTTGGCAGGTGGAGGGAAGACCGTCTCGTCCTGCTCTTCCGATTTCTTGGTAATACGACTCGACATCTTTAGGAGCACCATAATGGATCACCCGCCTCACATCTGCAATTTTTCTTTAGATTTTTAGCAAAATATTTTGTCGCAACTTCGCACCTGGTTTGTCGATGCCCATTCCAAATGCAACCGTAGCAACCACAACTTGGATTTTGTCCTTGACAAAGTTTTGATGCACCTCTTTTCTTTTTGAGAATGATAAACCAGCATGATAGCATCCACATGAAATTTTCAATACTAGAAACGTTAAAAATAAATTTAATATCATACTTTGTAATTATTTTCAATTCAAAACAAAGGATCAATCTAATTAATTTGAATAACCTAATGTTATATATAAAATTTTTCTATCAATTTCAATTCGAATACAAATACCACAATTTTATATTCTTACACTGCAAAGTGCTATCGACAGCCTCGCTTTCTTTCTTTGTGGGACAGTAAATGATGGTCGGGCCATCAAACTTGTACGACGAACCTTCTTTGATGGCCAAGGACTTCAAGTCGTCAGCCATGTTCCCAGACTTCACATCGACGGCCAGGAAGAGATTTGGCCTGTCAAAGCCTGAGCACACCATTGCAGGGGATTTCAGTTTCAGGGATTTGCAAATGTCCCTTCGAACTTGGGGAGTGGCCGTGGCGGTCAGTGCGAGAAATGGCACACGTGGAAAGATTTCTTTCAAATTGCCCAGGTTTCTGTAAAGAGTTTCAAGAGTTTTAATTTCAATTTGGAGAAACCAAACTGACCTGTAAGAGGGTCTGAAGTCATGGCCCCACTGACTGACGCAATGAGCTTCGTCGATAGCAATGAGGACAACGTCTAGATTTGCCGCCATTTTTTTCAAAAGAGATTTTCCATTTTCACCAGAACTGAACTCGGGAGACATGTAAACCAGGCGATGCCGACCTTCCATGATCTCTTGTAGGGTGGATGTTATTGAAGTTTGTGCTGTTCCGAGAAAACAGGCAGGAATGTTTGAAACCTGCGAAAAGGCAAAAAGAATAATATTGCACCTATATTATTTGTTATATAAAAAACATTTAAGAAATGAAAAAAATCTTACTGTAAGTCCAAGGACTTGATCTTCCATCAAGGCAATCAATGGTGAAATAACGATTGCAACTCCCTCCGAAAATACTGCAGGAAATTGATAACACAGACTTTTGCCGTAACCAGTCGACATCACGACACAGCTGTCTCTTTTTTCCTAGTTAACAAAGTAGAGTGATAAGTATTAATTTTAATCATAAAATTTTTAAAGAAACCTCAAGTACGGTGGAGATGATTTTCCATTGCAAAGGACGGAATGCGTTGTGACCAAAATACTTTCGCAGCGCTTGCAAGTGCTTTGGAGACGGTTGAGTTTTGGCTTCCACTAAAAACCACAAATAATCAAGATTATTTTCTATCAAATTGAGACTGTGAACATCATACACAAGGCACAAACCTGTATCAAAAATTGTCACTTTTGTGCCGCAATCATCGTCGCTGGTGACCGAGGCGTTTAAATCTGGGGCTTTTGTCTGGTTGCTTGATGTTCCTGGAAGGTTGTTCCACTCATCGTCATCCTCCAGGGCGCCGAGAATGTCTGCAAGTTCCTCCTCAGTTGCCATTACGGATTGACTGAGAATCAAAACAGTGAATTTGCGACTTGGTTAGATCTCACAAAAACCCGCAAAAACCACTTTTAACTGCACTAATAACATTTTATCAGATTATCACAATGCAAAATATAAAATGTACCTGCGTTCAATGTGAGACTTTAAAATTCTCACAAATCAAGAGAAATTGGAAAATTTCGGGTTGAATACATGTATCAAAAAATCTTTTAGTTGTTTTCTGACTTTTCTGTGTTTTCATGTTGAGGTTCTGCATGTCAAAAAAGCGGCAAAGAGGGCAGCATTGACACGATCATTATTATTTTTAAAATAATTTGGCGGCAATGCAACGTGCTGATATGAGAATCCCCATAGGAAAGCATCATTATTATTTTTGAATCATTTAGAATGATTAATTTATTCAAATTTATTTTTATTACTTCTTCTCGGGAAAACAAAAATTGTAAATTGGAAAAAGAGAGAAGAAATGGTTTAAAACTAGCAGATGCTGAAACGCCCAAAATCAAAAGAGACTCGGCCGCTGCGGTAAACCCACGCTATCAAAAATAAAGAACAATATCACAAACACTTAAAAATCTTAAATATTGAATTATTGCCATAAAATAAATGCTCCTTGAAGAGAGAAGGAAAATTGAAATTAGCCACGTTGTGCTCATGAGCTTTGCTCAAAAATTATTTAATGAAAAATAAAATGATAGAAAACACAATTATTGCTCCAGGCAATGTTGGGTGAAACGAGGCAACACCGTTGTCTGCAGTTTCCGTGTTTAGTAAAGTAATCCTCCCCTCGATGTCGGCAAAAACAGGACTTTTCTGTTTAATATAATTGGCCAGCATCACACTCTCTTCAGTATCTGCACGGATTTTCTTTTTTTATTTTCTCAATTTATATTTTTTTAATTGGTGTTTACCTAAAATCGTCTTATTCATGCCTTTTTGGCTCAACACGTGATAGCCATCACCGCCATCAGCGATGTACTGACTCATTACGAGACCATAGATCACATTTGGGTCCAACGGAGAGTATCGTGGTTCTCGGCATTGCCCGCAACGCACCATCACAGATTTCACCCTTTTTCCAGGAGGTTTAGACATATCATAAGTAACTTTAAGACCTATAAAAATACACATTTTTTAATAAATTTCTAAATATTTATTTGTAAATTAATTGCCTGAAAACTGCAAAAAACGGCCAGGTGCTTCTACTCCGCTCAAATCGTAAAACTTGACGCTTTCCTCCAGCGTCTCAAGCAAATCCACCCCTTTCAGCCGTAAGGTCACAACCCCTGTTTGAAAAGGCAGAACTGTCAAGACATCTTCCATTGTAACAAATCCTTTAAGTAAAAAAAAATTAATTTGCATAATTTTGGTTTAGAAATTTCCAACCTCCTTTGGTTCCGTCTTCTGAGGCCTTATAATTGAAATCAAACTTTTCATTTTAATATCAAATTTCACTTATTTTTACTGAACCTTGCTTTCTTCAATGGAACTCCTTATTCCTCCTCCGTTCTGAACAGCAATTGGAGCATCAGTCCAACCACTTCCTGAGTATGTGGATGCGTACTAGAAATATCACTGAAATTCATTTCAATATTTACAAAATTCATTCATACATGGGATATAAAAGCGTCCGACACGAAATTTCCCAAATTGCACTCCCTCATTCGGCAAGAGTTTTGCGATCCGTTTAAGAAAACCAGGGTTTTTCCAACTTTTTCTTGCCCCAAGCTGGCGACCTTTTCAGCCCATGGTTTCAATTCTTGTAAAACATCTGGATCTAGGATTAATGTATGAAATATGCTAACACTTTATCAATTATATAGGCCTGGTTATATTTTACCCTGTTCTATATTGTAATCGAGCAAAATTGGCTTCCCCTCCATGCCGACAATTTCGCCGTTTTTATCAAAAGTCAAGTCCATTCTGCCCATGTATTTTGTGTAGGCGTACGCTTGAACCACAGGGATTTTTTTGCCACTCGCCTGTTCTACCATAGTTGGGTACAAATCAGCGGGGATATCCGAGTCAGGCTGACGACCTATTCAGAGTGAACAAATTAAAAAAAATATATATAATAAAAATAAAACAAGCTCTCTCACGTCTTTATGAAATTCCAACGTAAGCTTTTTATATCATGAATCATGCTGGAATTATCATTTAAATTGCAATTTAACTTGAAAGAGTTTTTAAGGTGATATGAACTTTAAATTATTTCAGAGATAAAATCCAAATCCCGTTAATTAGTAGTTTAATTAAATTTCACATGAAAATTCACAATCTTATAAGAATATAAAATTAATTAAATGTATTTAAAAGCAAAGGAAAGCTACCTGTGTATAAGAAGGTGTTTGAATGACCTCCTACAACTAAGTCCAGTCCGTCCACTTCTTTGGCAATTTTCTTGTCCACCGAGTGGCCAGAGTGTCCAACCGCAATTAAGATGTTCACACCACTCGCTCTCAAGCGATCGACCTCGCGCCTAATTGCAGGCACTTCGTCTTCAAACACCACTCCTCCCACACTCGGCACCAAGTCCTAATAAAATAAATTAGGGTGCAGCCACGGAAAAATTAAAATAATTTATTTCATTTTTATTTGAAAATTAGATTTTTAATTTTTATATTCAAGTGCGGCTTACCACGGTCTCTGGAGTGAGATAACCGATTACGCCGACTTTTCTTCCTCCCACATTCAAAATCACAGACGGTCTCAGTTTTTCTAAACTCGGTTCTCTGCTCACATCCACATTAGCGGCCAGCACTGGGATCGTGATGTTTTCTAATAAAGGGGCCAGTCCGTCGACTCCATCATCAAACTCGTGATTACCGAGGCTCTGCAAAAATTTGCTTTTGATTGCAATATAATTGCTTGAAAAGTAACATGCTTTAAAATAAGGCGTAATATATTGAATTTTTATTTTATGTTCTTATTATCAATAAAAAAGTGCAGGAAGTTTTTTGAAGAGCAGATGTCTCTTTTTACATTTTCCTAATATCAAACATGTCCATGAATAGCGCGGCGGCCGCACAACTTTATTTAGCTGTAGGTTGATAAAAAGACAACAAAGGGCCTCACCATGCAGGTGCGGCAGTGTTTGCGAAAATAGAAACACAGGCACCGACGAGACCCAACAAGCAAGCAAGCGAATTGAATTGTAAAATGTTATTTCTTTATCAATTAAAAATGCTGGTATGGCATTTTAACTGCCCTTTCTTGCAAACAAAATTTTTACTAAAAAAAATAATATTGCAAATTTCCCTTACTAGTAAAATTGTAAATTTATGAACTACAATTTCCCCGATTGTTTTTTGTTTTACAATTACAAATTGTTCGACTCGAAAATCTCCTTCTGGCCAGAATTTAATACTGATCGCTAAAAATGAATGAAATCGCCAAGTCATTTTGTAAAAAAAATTCAAACTGCCTTCATAATAAAAATTTTGAGTAATTAAATGAGAGGCCGGTGCGTTAATCTGGAACCTCTGGCCATTTCTTTTCATTGTTATTCTTTTCCGTCATTGATGATAGCCAAAGTGGGATTTTTACATTTTAGTTTTCAGAGGGGTTTTGTGCAAATTGTTTCAGCCAAATTAGTTCATTAGTATGGGGAAGAAGGAAAGAGACACACAGCGAGGTTTAATCTACTGAACCTTTCGATCAAATAATGTTGGTCTTTTTCACTTCTGCTCTCTCTCTATTCAAAAAATAAACAAATCAATAAAAAAGTCTAAAGATAAAAATGGATAATGTTTTATTTTTATTTTTTATTATTATTTGCGTTTCATGGCATTCCTGGCAGAGAAAATTATTAGCTGATGCCTATACTTGGCCGTGTGACTTAGAACGAAGCGCGCATTATTAATTTTTTTATTGTTTGAAGTGAGGCGAAGCAGTTATACGACTGTATTGCACGCAGTTTCTGAGAAAGGGAAATCACAGCTCGTGTGTAACAATGAAGTTGTAGTGAGAGTTGTTATGTTACACGCTGTACTCTACTATCGACACCGCCTCAATGGCGAGTAAATTGGCCAAGAAAGACTCTCAATAAAGTTTTTTGTGCTACAAAATCCTAAGGCATGTGTGCAATAAACTAAAAGTACGTATAATGTCAGCCAGGCAAAAAATTTTTCTTTTTTTGCAATAGAACATTTTGAAACATGTTTAGCAGTAATTAATTAAAATTAAATAATTTTAAAAATGGAACATAAATTAATTCAAAATAAGCAAGTCATTCACAAATTACTTAAGACTTTGATATTGATTTTTTTTTATTAAAGAGCTGTTTTCCTCTAAAAAAAAATATAATTATATAGATATCGAATAGGAAAACCCCGATTCTTGGATTACCAAGAAGAGGAAAAATGATTAAAATTAGTTTTGTGGTAGAATTTCACGATTGAGGGTTTATTCATGGTGATTTGAATTTAAAATCGGCTTTTCCTCGATGGGTTTTTGTGAGTTGTTTATTGTTTCAGAAAAAGCAGGATATTGTTTTTTCTGAAACAATAAACAACTCACAAAAACCCATCGAGGAAAAGTCGATTTTAAATTCAAATCACCATGATTAAAATTAGATCTCTCACCATAGCATCCATTCCGATCATCTTGAGAAAAGCGGCCACGACACGCCACTTGTGCACGGTGTACCAAGAGGTGCCCTGGTAAGTGTCGCCCGCGTTCAGGAAAATGACGTTTTCCTCCGCTTTGCGCACGTCCTTGACGACCTGGGCCACCCTGGCGAAGCCGCCGAAACAGGTCTTGGTGCTCAGGTGCTTCTGGGCGCACCTGCCCGACTGGCCGTTGGTCTGCTCGAAGCGCGCGTGCATGTCGTTGTTGTGCAGCACCACCAGCTTAAAGTGGCCGTCGGCCGCCGCCGAAAAAACGAGGACGGCCGCGACGAGCAGAATTGAACAGGCCCTGGCGACCCACATGCCGAGCGCAACTGACTTCAGGTTCGCAGGGTCCGTCTCGCGCGGCGAGAACCACTTTTTGCAGATTGAGCGAGGTTCGCAAGAAACGCGGCGCGCGCGCACTCGCAGAGACTCGCGAAGCAAATATAATAATAATTTTAAATTATAGAAGATTGGCGAAATTATCTTAAGGAGTGGTCCCTGGGATGCATTTCCTCTTTCGAAAATTATACTTTTAAATCATTCGTATGTACTAATCGAATGATTAATCAAATTAGATAAGTGAATTTCTTTATTGTCGTAAGCGGTACCAAGGATTGTCAAACCGCAATTTTAACGTCATTATTTAGCCAACAGTTATTCCGGCAAGCAAGTAATTTAAATTAATTTTCATTCCACTTCATTTATCTAATTTTTTATTTTTTGACCTGGGTTAAAATTTTTGAATACTTAAATCAGTGAATTTTTTTTACACTAGGGCACTGCAAGCAAAAGAAGCCTGCAATGAGAATCATAAATGCATAATATTTTTAACTATAATTCACAACTGCTGACTACGCCTGAAAAGCTTTCACAAACTGTTGAAATCAACTTGGATATAAAATAAATTTTTTTTTTTTTATCAAATCAGCAGTAAAGTTGGGTGGTATAAGAATAATTGAAAAAAATATTTATATCTTCCACATTTAATTGCTTGAATTCAATTGCAAATGTCCCAGAAAGAAATGCACATTATCTGATGTCATGAGAAAATCCAAAAAAGTCAAGAATTAGAAGTAATTTGATTAATTTTAAAATGTTGTTCAATTTATTTGAATTGTCATTTACTTACCTTTTTGGTTTCTATTAAAATAATCCATTAATAAGTTAAATTCATTAAAAAAATTAATTTTATTCTAAAATTTTTATAAATTGTTAAGATAATTTGTTTTAATAAATAAATTTATTTTTATATAAATTCCATACTAAATTTCTGTATAGGTTCTTGAAGTTGTTGTTGTGGAACCTTTTGGCACTCGAGGTGGTCGGTCATATTTGTTGAAATATTAAAAAAATTAATCACGTACGTTTAATAACAGAAATTGTATTTGAATGTTAATATTAATACAAATTAATAGTAACTTATTTTAAAATTTTACATGTATAAAACGTATAAAATTTATTTCTTTCTGGCCAAACTGCGTATTACAATGTTAAATGAAATTCGCAACGTCATTATTGTTGTCGTCGTTATTATGTCGACGTCCGATAGTCATTAAAGAAATTGCCAGCGGCGTCAATGCGTTTTTTCCCGTGCGGAACAACAGGATCTTATTGTTAGGACGGAATTCGCACAGCTTTAAATGCCTGCACAGAAACGCATTGTGAAAAAAGTACAAGCTCATTTTAGCAGCCGGTGCGTTTCCTCTTCGCAAATATTTGCTCCTCGAAGAGCGCGCGTCAACAGGCTTTACATATCGCGCGCACCGTATATTTGTATAATTGATTCTTCAAGGTGAAAGGTCCAATTATGTTTTTAACTGTGAGCGAGGAAAAATGCAAATAATTCGTTTCCTAAATAAGAGATGATAGAAAAAAATATCAGCGGCAGGTTGAAAAATATTATGGAATAGCGCAGGATATTTTTCTTTTTGCTATATATTTTTTATCGTAAGGTAAAGGCGGTTGGATGAATATTAAATACCCCTACCCATTAGAATTTCAAATCATGTTTGTTTTAATGTCTTAAAATTATATACATTTTAATTAAGGCCCACAGCAGTTTATTAAATTACTGAAGAGGCCAACAATTAAGAAATGGAGTTTCAATGCAACAATTAACAAAATCTACAACGTCGGCACATTTTTGCCTTTGAAGATTTTATTTTTTGGATTCCAAGCGATTTGATGCTTATCATAATATTCTTATTTGCTTTATATTTCCCGAAATATCTCATTTTTAAAAATTTTTCCACTAAAATATCTGCAAAAGATAGGGAATGCAGGTATAAATTTATAAATTATTCTATTATTGCGTATAATTTGCAATTTTTATTTTTAGGCGCTGATTCCTCGAAGTCCTCTTGTGCTCTCCACAAGCAATTATTTTATTTTTCGCTTCTGGGACTCGTCAGCGTCCGTGAGTGAATAATTTCTTCGGATGTTAAGTTTAATTATTGTCACAATTTAACAATCAACTTCGGCCGCACCAGGGCGACTCAGGTTTCTTTTTCCTACCGACCTTTCCCGCCGCCTCACCTGAGGAGGAAGGGAGCGTGTTGCGGTCAGGATCGGGCGACGCTCCTCGCTACCCGGACTGGGTCTACAGACACGTGATCGTGCCAAGACTGCTGTATCAGGAGCAAAGGCGAATCGCTCAACGTGCAGAGGCGGCGAACGCAAACACGCCGAGTGAGGCGCAGGCCCCGTTTGAGACGTTCCTGGACGCAAACAGGTTCGACGCAACCTTTGACTTTGAATGGTGGTTGGACGAGGAGGATGGACAGGAGGATGAAGGTGATTTTGGGCAGGAAAACGAAAACTGATGAAAAATCCTGATAAAAAAATTTAATGTATCATTTTAGCTCATCATTTAATAAAAAAATGTATATCCAGTATAGTCAATCAAAATTTAAAGGTAACGTCATTAAATTTAGCCATCTTCATTTCATTTTAAGTACTCGAAAAAAAATTTTTTATGTCAATTGATTTAGGCAGAATCGAAGAAAAATATTGTTTTAGAGAAACAAAAATTTTTGGGTACTCGAAAATCAGTTTAATTTTATATTGTTCCGTTCTATTTAATAAAAAATGACAAATGACCTTAAAAATTGTAATTATTGCTTTTTAGTAAATGTTAGTAAACTTGGACAAATTAATTTGAGCTTTTGATACTTTTGATACCTGTTTATATGGTTCAACTGTAATAATACAAAATATGTTATAATTTTTTTAAGTTTAATTGAAATTCTCAACATTAGATTTTCAATTACAACAATTCAGTGGGTCTGTAGAGGAAAATATTTACAACATTCAATGGTGTTTCATCTGAATAGATCTTGTCATAATTATATTTAAATTGAATTGCAATCTTTTATTTAAACATAAAACTTGAATACTGTTTTTCTGGCTACGCAACTAGAACAGCTAGTTTTATAATCAATTAATTGAGCTCTAAACAGCCTGTCGACTGACACGAGTGAGACAAAACGTTTGTCTTCTGTGCGTGACTAAATCGGAACATCGATGTGAGTAATAATTAATTTACATTATAATATCATAAGGTTTTATATATTTATACTTACGTGCATCAGCACGCGTCGTTAAAATTTATATAATATCAATTAAAATTTTTAGAATTCTGTCACTTAGGCTCAGCGAGATTCCTACTTATCGTTCGTTCGATCCTGCCTTTGATCACATTTATATTATGTTGATCACCGATCGAAAATTTGTGTCCCATCACTTGTTTATACTTTTCACTTCCTTTCCCTACGTATCACAGATGTTGTTGCTTAGCTAAAGTTACATTGGTTTTATAGCTTTTCGAAACGCGTGTGGCATCAACCGCGAGAAGTCACATATACCATTCATTTGTTGTGCTGTTTGTGAGTTTCCTCCGTTTGCGAATGTTGAATAACTTATTTTTACTCTTCCTCCGTTTACAAATTTAGTTGGTTCTAATTATTTAGATTTATTTATCTTTAGACAAAAATAATCTCTCTGCTTAATTTTTATTTTTAAAATTTGTTGATTCAAATAATTTTCAATGATTTGCTTACTGAATTAAAATCTCATTAAAATTTATTCATACAATATTATATAATGTATCAATACTTCTTGCCTTTTCAAAGATTTGTGCACGTTAAAACTAAACGTTAAATGCATATTTCCGAAACGACAACAACAAGTAGCAGCTTAAAAGGTTTTGATTCTTTAATTTTTTACTGTATATAACAATGTACACATATTAATAATTTTTATTTTCGCCTAAAGTTAACACCTTGCTAAAATTTGGTTGCAGCGTATATTTTCCCTGTGTTCACATTAATAAGTGACTTACAAAGAGACTTTTCGCCTAAACGTGAATTCATTCCTATTTGGAACTTTTTAATCCGACAGAGAACGACACTAAAGTCGTTCTCTCTCAACAACCACTTAATATCTCGGAAGGTACGACGGTAGTTGCAAATTTGTGAAAATCGAAAAGAAAAACTGAAACTGTCAGGAAAGTTGGATTGTCGTGATAAATACTTATTATAAGCTAAAGAGAAGGTCTCGAATTATGTGTGGCAGTCTTAAAAACTTATAACAAAAATAAATAAATTACTATCTTGCGTCGTCGCAATTGAACTATTAAAAAGTTAAACAAACACTGACTAGTCAACAAAATTGCACTGACAATGATGATTCTTGAACATTATTTGTAGCAGGACGTTCAAGAAAAATCCAGGTTTCATTTAATGATGCTGTAGAAATCAGCGTAACTATGTGATAATTGCACTAAAGTGCCTGAAAGGATTCTGAAACTGTCTCTGAAAACAACAAATCTTCTTCAAAATCTAATAATTATATTAATATAAAAGTCTGTTTTTTTTTTTTTGTTAAATCCATTGAAATTTTCAAATAGTACACACATCATGTTCTTTCTTTTTAAGATGACTTTTCTTTTCTACACACACAAATTAAATTTTCAAGAGAAACTACAAAAATTACAACGTCGCGATTATTGTCACAGGAAAAACGTTCTAAAGCAACAACTAGCATTTAATGTAAATTGGTTCTGCGTTGAACGTCCTGGGGTGCCTCTCCTCCTCACTGGGAGAGGGCCGGGGTCACACGGAGGTGGTCAGCTGCTCGATGACCGTGATGTTCTTGACGGGTCGTCCGCCCCAACTCTGCTGGCGGCAGAAGGCAGGGCTGGGGAGGATGTGGGGCAGCGGGTCGTTGTCATCGTCGGGACGTCTGCTCGGTCGGACGTCGCCATTCTTCGCTTGTTGTTGCTGGTGTTGGCGGTGGTGGTGGTGGTGATGGTGATGATGGTGGTGGTGATTGTGGCCGTGCGGACCGTGGCCGTTGACCAGCACCTCCTTCCGGCCGAGGCTCTCCGGTTCGCTCAGACTCATGGTCATGTTCGGTCGAAGGGGTCTTTTGCCGGGAAAACCACCCGAGTCGTGGTGGTTCTGGCCCTGGTAAAAGTCGTAGTCGATGATGAAGTTGTCCGCCGAGTTGGTGTGGTTGACCAGCGCCTCCTCGGAAATGCAGCCCAGCAGGTCGGACACCTGCGCCGGAGGGGGCGGAGGGGGCGGCGTGTCTCCCAGGTCGAGGGTCGTGGCAAACGAAATGCTCTTGGCCATTCTCGCCTGCGCCCTGCTGGCCGCAGGGGTTGTCGGCGCCGGGGTCGGTGTGCTGCAGGAACAGGGCGGCGCCTCCGAGAAGGACAGGCAGCTCGTCGGGTCCGGATGCTGCACGACACCCCTTTTGTACCAGTTCATGAGAAAGAGGAGAGCGGCGCCGAGAAGAGTGAAGAAGGAGGAGAAGTAGTAGCCTGCCTTTGGATGGCTCTCGTTGATGTAACCTGAAATTTGAGTGAAGGTTATGCAACTGGCAAAACATCGACGTGAAGCAGATTGCATCATTATTGAATATAATTAACAATTTGTGGCGTCAATTTTGTTCAAATATCTCAGGTTTATTGGTTTCTGTTGAAATAGGATTTTTATTTTTTAGATTTCATTCTCTCACAGCAAGAAAGCAAAATGAAAATATTGAGAGAAAATTAAAAAAAAGATCTATTAAACTTCTTATTAAAATTATCACGCTATTATCAGGTCCAACAAGAAAAAAACAAAAGCGCTTTTAGATAAAACCTAATGGCTGATCTGGATTTGATAAAAATTTAAAGAAAATCAAATCCGTAATATAATTCATGCTGCTGATCTTTTTCATTCTTTTATTATATCGCAGTCCAATTTAATAATTTATATCCTAAAATAATTTAACTCTATAAATTAGGAATTACCAGTAATTGGAATTCCAAGAAGTGCAGGTATGGCTTTAGCGCCCTGGACGAATCCCCAAGTGCGAGTGAAGTGTTTGGCGCGCACTCGTTCCAGCACATACATTTTGAGGGAGTAGATAAAACCACCCAGGAATATTCCGTAGATCCAAACAAATAAAACGTAGCCGTGATATCCCTGGACAGTGCTCAACGCCAAGAGCGAAACGCCTGAAAATAGAATATTAATAATGAAATAACCAGAGGCAAACTTAAATTTTATTTCAATAATAAGTTATTTCAGGATGCTTTATTTATTTAAATTATTATTTTTAAAATATTTTTACTTTGCACCCTCATGCACTTGTTTAAATTAAGTGAAATCTAGGTTACTTCATTTCCATAATGAAGTTATTTTCATATACTGGTTATATATTGACTTGATCAATTAGATTTTATATATTTAAAATAATAAATAATGATATACTGGAATTATGCGATTTATTTTTGCCAAACAAAAAATTAAATTTTATGTTAAATTAAAATTGCAAAAATCAAATTTATTAATAAATAAAAAAAGATCTTAGAAATGTTTTAGTAATAAATGTTTAATTTATTCTCACTTTAAATATAATTATACTTGTTTGTAAAGCAACTAATGTTGGTTGTTTCGTATATTTTGTGTGAACATATGGAAGTGTGTTCACAAGAAAAATATATATTTTTTATTTTTTGTTCAAAGTATGTTAATAATGCATAATATTGTTATAGTTTTTAACAATGTTTGTGCACGTCTGTGAATAAAAATTAAATAACAAATTAAGTATTTCCTTTTTGTTTGTGTGTTTTAACATTGTTTTTTAAATCAATAAATTTTACCTATTCCCACCATGGATGCTTGGCACAGGTACTGCCGTGAAATGAGACATTGATCACTGGGCCGAACCACAACCAGTCCAAATCCAACACATCCTAAAGCAGTGGCAAAACCTAGAAAGGTTTGCAGAAGGACCAGGGCGCTGTCTTCCAACCCCTCTTTGTATCCGTGCATTACCTTAAAAATTTACAAATAATTTTTTTGGTTTCAAATTTTATATGAAAATAAATCTTACGAGGTAGAAAATTGGTGTGTAGAGACCGACAGCGGCAGTTGCTGAAGAAATTATTAAAATCTGCACGGTCCTGACTTTCAAAGGCGAAAAGTCAAAGAACGGTGGTTTTTCAACTGTAATGTGGCCCTTCTTTTCTTTGACCTTTTTCTTCTGGTTCTTGAGGTGCAAGATTGCTCTTCTCTGGGGGTGGTAGAGAGAGGCGGAACGGTAGCAGACGCCCAGGAAAAAGGAAATGAAGACCACACCTGTCACGGCTTGCAGGCCCAAACGCCAACCAATATTTCTATAAAAGAGGAAATTAAAAAAAAAAATCAATTTGGAATATTTGTGATTTGTAGACAGTGCACGAGTGAATCTTCAAAAGCATAAGTATCATTACAATTGCGGTATTTTTTTGTAAATAAATTTTTTCAACCTTTTTTTAAACATTTGTCCACTGGTTTTTTGTACAGATTAAATATCAAGAAAATCTTATACATTGAAAATTTCAAAAAGAATTTGCTTGTTTTGTTCTCATATGAAACTGTTTCTCAGAATCATTATCACAAAATTTTGTTGAAAAATTTTTTTTTTAATTTTCTGTATATTTTTGAATCCTTTAAGAAATTTTTTGACATGTTTTATTAAATAGGCCACTCTTGGAAATTATTTTTATTGAAATATTGCTCCAAATATTTCTTTTACGTTTTCATAAGATAAATTTGAAACTTAATTGTGTCTAAATTTTCATCTTACCCAATGGCCTCCTTGTAGAAGACGGAAAAGAGCGTAATGCCGATGCCTCCTCCGGCCTGCACCACGATTTCCACAAATTCCCTGCGTCGCTTGAAGTACTGGCCCAGCATGAGTCCTGACGATTCGCGCACCATGCCAATGCCGACGCCAAAAACGATCCCGTAACTGCGGACGGCAAATTCGTGCAAAATCGATGCTTTAAAAAGTTTTGACTGCAGCGAAAATAAATGCGCTTCTTTTTGCGGCGAGAGTAATCTGCAGACTCTCTCGGCGTAAAAAGGGCCATCCATTTTGGCTGTATATATTGCCCGAGCGAGTAACATGTTTTGCTTTTTTTACCTTAGGAAGACTTGATGGATTTGCTGAGCAAAGGAGGTAAAAAGTATGGCCAGGGCCATCACCAGGCCGCCAAACACGGCCGTCAGTCGAGTCGATTTGCGACGGCAGAAAGCAACAATTAGAGGCGCCGTCGCGAGTGACACAGCAAAACAAAGCACGCCGATCCACGCTGCAACACAAACGGAACCAATTAAAGCACCAGAAGAATGAAATAAAATCATTGTTAGAAGAAGGAATACGATCTACGTATTATTAAAGAACCTAAATTTTTAAATATAACCTTTCCAAATATTGCAGAAGTAGTACAAGTGTGTAAGAATGGTCAAAGTTTTTAAATTTAATTCATATTTACTTTTCTAAATTTTTTAATAAAAACCATTTTTTCAACGAGGAAAAAGCCCGATTTCTTTACTTCCGTGAACATCTCCTCGAGTGTCAATTTCTTCAAACAAATTCTTATAAATTGTTTGTTCTACTTTTAAGAACAAAATTTTACCCCATTATCAGTTTTAAGAATTGTATTACAAAGCATTCCTCTTGATTTTTTTGTTATTTGTTAGATATTTAAAATTTTAGTTAATTTTAAAATAAGTAAGAAAAATGTAAAAAAATTACATTCCAAGCAAGTAATGAAACCTCAGTGAGCCAACAAATGGAAAGCATAACAACCTATTTGCTTGCTTATAATTGACTCCTCATTGGTACAGTAATGAATTTTTTTACAAGAAGAGGAGCACTTTTTTGTAATTAGTGGAAAAAATTAGAAATTTTAACCACTATTGTTGTGTAATCTTGATTTTTCTGTCATTTTTTAGCTCTGTCGTTTTCATTACTTACAATTAGTTAAAATGTGGTATTTTATAAATCCAATTACTCATTTTTGTAGTTTTTTTTTTTTACTATAAAAGAGGGTGACCGAAATTGGGTCTTTATATATTTTAATAACAAAACAAAACAAAAAACTTAATTTCTCAAAAAAAGAAAAGATAAAGTCCATTCCTTCCCTGAAATATTTGTATAATAATTAATTTACCGCACCTGCCCTCCAAGACTGTCCCTCAAGCAATTTTTCCTCTCTTTGCAAGGAGCATTTTTTGTGGTATTAATTAAAGAATTTAAATTGTAAGAGATATTGTTTTTTTTTATAGGGTGAGTTTATATGGAGCGTTTTAGCAGACATCTGCTACTTTTTAACCCTTTCTTTCATTTTTTCAAATTTAAAATTTTTTTATTGACCGAGAACAATAAACAATAAATAATTTTCCAAACATTCAGTTCTTGCGATAATTATAATTGCAGCCGAATGTTGAACTTTTGGACTTATTTTATGAAACAATAAATGAATTGAAGCCATCAATGAAAATCCAACATTAAACTCAAACATCATATTTTCATTAAAATTAAATTTATATACAAGTGGTAAAGAAGGCATTAATAAATCTAAAAATAAATTTAAGCAAACGTCATTTATTTTAAGAACCTGAAAATTTTATAACAAAATATAAGAGCGCACAAAATTTTTGTGACACTCGGAGCCCAAATAATAAATGGCGGCTCGCGTCTATTAACTGGCGACCTCCGACCTCCGAAAGACCTCAGTCAACTCGGTGCAGTCCATCATCGTGATTATTTTGACAAGCTATTTATCAGCATCGCGCTCGGTCCGACGGATATTTTGTTGTGCCCTCTCGAGAGTTCTAGGGAGAGAAAGATGTGCGGAATGAAATATCGACGCCGTGCGTCTTTTGCTGAATAAATACGCGCGCAAGCCGAGCAATTTCTCACCGCAGCGAAGTCGCTCCACGAGACGAAAGGATTACTCGCGTTGATTGCTCATTTGTTATGCACGCGAGCAGAAATGAGAGAGCAAATTTCAGACAAAGTCAGAGACGGTTATTCATCTTGGGTCGTCCGTGATATGCAACTTTTTCAGAGGAATAATAAATTTTTAAAGATATAACAGCTTTTATAAATTTTTAATCAAAGAACCTCCATTTAAAAGTAAAAGATGATTTGTTTTTATCAACATACCAACAATTAATATCAATGGGGGAGTTAACGCCTTATTATTAATTACATTACTTAAAAATACAATAAATATTTAATAAATTGGTTAAATAAATATTTTAAATAATCACATTATAAAATATAAGATTGAATCTGTTCATATTAAAAATTTAATATAAAAATATAAAATAAGAAAAAAAATTGTTTAAAGAAAAAAGAAAATAAATTTTAATAAATTTTAAAAATAAAAGTTGTCAACAAATTAACCTTATTTTCTATTTATCCTAATATCCAATTTATTTCTCAGTTTATAATTAGATATTAATTTGTTAAAACATAAGATGATAAAAACGAGGAAAACTTAACTCGGTCACTATTATTTTGCCTTTTCTCGTATTAAAAAGGCAGTCGTCGTGTGCGGCTAAAGGCTTAAGCACAAATGAAAGAGTCATCACATTTTTCTTGCTTGATTCATGCAGACGCCTCCACGTGAAATTCGTCGTGCCATGCGCACGATCCGTCGAAGATGATTGATTGATGATCTTAAACCGACCACCAACTAAAGAAAAGGAGACCCTAATAATTTTTTGTCTTTTCACGAGAATAACCGAAGAACATTTTTCTTTTCACTAGAAAAAAATACATATTTATTCCAAAAGGCAAAAATATAGATTTTCGCAGAAAAATATCAGCGGTTCAAAATAAAAAAAACCACAGAGAGCATGTGAATAAATAACTTTGTGATTTGATGGGGTTTCTTCCTTTATTGCAAATAGAGAGATACTGTAAAGGGCTTGCTTTTCACATCAAAAGTAGGAATTTTGGCGAAAAGGTTTATATCAAAGGCGAAACTTTATGAATAGCGAATTGGGCCACGGATCTGTGATGTTCTCCGATCCGGCGCATCCAACCGCGAGATACAAACACGCACTCACTGTGATTCTTACTGATTGGTGGAAAAAACGAAAACGCGTTCCAACGTAAGGTATGTAATGCACAAACATCAGGCTTATTTTGCGTCAAGGGCAGAAGTGGCTTCTTTGATCTTTGAAAATTGCATTTGGGTGTTGGTCGGAAAAATTGAACAGTTCTTTTCCCAAGGAATTTAGGAAATGTATAATAAATAATAAAGCCAGCATAATAATGTATTTTTTGTTCCATGCTCTGAAATATTATTGGGAAATTTAATTTTTATTATTTTGAATATTTTTTGCGCTCAAATTAATTGTGAAGTCGGATTTTATGCAGTCATTATGAATTAAAATACTAATAAAAATCAAGACTTATTTCGACTTCGCAAACAAAACCTTCTCGAGACTATTGCAAACGATTTTAAGACATGATTCACAGCAGATTCACAGTTATTGGAATATTCAGAGACAATACTTTTGTTTTAGATACTTTGCTGTATTTTGTTTCTTTTCAAAAAGGACTTAACTCATGTCTAATTTAAACTTAAATTTAAACTAAAAGTCAAATTAAAAGTGGAATACGTTTTCTTCTTCTTAAAACATTAAATTCATTTAGCTGAAGCTCAGATTTTAAATTTTAATCAGTATTTTTTTTTTTTAATATGCTTATTAAAAAGATTGTATTTTCTCTTGGATTCCAAATTCCTTTTCTGGAAACCTAAATAATGAAAAGGCAGTAAATTAGCAACAACACAAAATAAAATTAATCTTCCCAATTTGATTAGTTCGGCCTGGCAGGATACTTTGGGCGCAGCGCAGGAGCAATTTGAGAAAGTTTCAAAACCCAATGCCATAATTCAAAAGTCACCGGCCGGAGGAAAACAACAGAGGCAATGTATTCTTTTTTGCGGCTTGCAACTTAATTACGTCGAGCAAAATGAGCGCGCATTAATTTCGGCAAGACAAGCGAATTTCGCCCTCTTAATCAAGGTCAGAGAGAAGCTCTTTGTGATACAACTTTTGCCGTCTGGAGGCAGCGAGTTTATTAAAATTATGAGCGGCTGCTAAATAAGACGCGCGCGGACGGCTTGCAGAGGCGTTTTTCGGCCGCGCGCGTTAATGAATTATAAATAAATCTGCTGCCGTCCGTGACTCGAGGTGCTAAATCAAAACTATAAATTTGGTAGTCGGCAAAGGCTTGAAAAGTGGTCACATAATTCATTCTAGCGGTGCACGATCGAGACAACGGCAGCGAGATGCTGACTTTTTCATCGTTTTACTCGTAGAAATTTGAGAACTGACAAGTTTAAAGACTGGGGTTAATTTTTAGTAATGCTAATATTTATTATTCTTAATATATTATAAATAAATTTTTATTTTCCCTATAAACTTTTTGTTTTATAAAAATTTTAATACACATTAACTGCAATTTTATATAATTAGACGTAATTTTACCGATAAAATTAAAAAAAGTTGCTTTTCATAAAATTTTCTGTATCTAAACTAGATGTTTTCACGCAATAAAATAAATTTTTAAACCAACAGAGGATAACCTTAGTTAATAGGAATAATGATTATTTCATAATTATGAATAGTTGCTGGTATTTCAATGATGTAATTATGTAACAAAATTTGATCTTTTTAATGAAGGAAGATTTTTTTTAACATGAAATCCCTTTTTTTAATAAAGTAGGTATATTAATTAGTTTCAAATTGTGTTTATTAATGTATGACCGGGCATTCTCTGCCCAAATTACATCATCGATATTTATTTGAATATTTCAAAAGTCCAGCCAAATCCAAGCGGATGAGTTATAGGCCGGTGCTTGAATTATCTTGAAGTATCAATTTAAACTTAAACCTTTATTCTTTTCAACCAAACTGCAGAAACCTTTTGTGAAAACTTTTATTCAGCGCCACAAGCGAGCTGGCTGTCTCATTAAATCACAATTTGCACCAGCGTCGCTATTCAATTGCACTCACATATTCTAATTTATTACCCTCGCACGGAATGAATTAGCGCCGTAATAAACATCTCACTTGCTCTCTGTGCGATTTGCATATGTATATAAATATAAATATTCTCCAGCTAAGGATCCCGGCCATAATTAAAACACGCGCCGACGTCTAATTTATATATTTTCATGCAAATCCGACATTGTGCGCTGGCGTGATTTAATCGCGGTTTCAGTTCCCGCTTATTATTTTCTTCTTGCCACTCCTTGGCTAATAAACATGTCAACAAGTTGCTATTATAACGAGTCCATGCATCAATTTTGAAATAAAAAAGAAATAAGAGCGATTGAAGTCACGCAATTCAAAATCCTATTATGTTAAAATAAGAACAAGTTAGAAATTTATTCATGTCCCTTTACAATTGAGAATTATTTTTAATTGACGACAGCAATTGGCAAATCCTTTTATTTACAAATAATTTATTTCAACAGTGGATGTAAACCATGTATTGTAAAAATTTGGACGGATAAATGACAATAATAGTAAAAATAGATGAAAATTATGCAATGAAATATTAAGATGTGAAATGTAATTTTATAATCATATTTTTGCCTAAAAAAGCAATACATGATTATCAGATGATATATGGCCAATATTATACAATTTTGAGCACTTTAATTTATACATATTTATTGAACAATTCAGAAAAATTATTTATTTAAGATTGTAATTAAATCTCATCTTTTTTTTTAGTTCTTCAAGTACCTTGTTTTTAACTATTTTGGAATAATTAAATAATTCTACACTGACCATATTGAATCAAATCAGGAAATTTATATTCAAATTTTAATTTGTTTCAATCGAATCTGAAGAAAAGCTTGTTTTCTTTTTGTGAAGCTCACATCAAATTTGTTTAAATACTTTTTAAAGGCACGTTTCGCGGTTCAGCGCTAAGAAGGCGCCCAACACCATTTCGTGGCAACGCACCTGGGGGGAGTTTTAGCACTTTGCCCTTTCACCGCCGCCTAACTATTATTTGGCGTGTTTGCTTCGATCGCGGCAGTTCGCTCGCCATAAGTCACTTGGCGAAACGAGCCATTAAGCTTTTATGCCCCGCGAGTACAATGACTGCGAGTCTGAAAGATGAATTCAGTCATTAGCATAATTGTTACGTGCGGAAAAGGCACACGAGAGGTGCAGGAGAGGTCGCGCAATTGCCCAAGAAAATTGCCGGTTTCAGCATTTTCGCTCCGCCGAGCTCCGCTGGTAGAAAAGCAAAGCGCGAAACAAAAAGCAAGAAATTCAACAAGTTGATTATCATCGCTCCATCTGTGTACATTCCAGCTTGCAGCAAAAGGGACTCGCAGATAACACATACGGACTGGGGAACGTCGCCAATCTTATATTAATTGTGTATCTGATTTGATAATCTGCACAGATTGGAAAAGGGAAAGGAATTGACGCAAAAATGGTCAAATTTTGATCAATTTTTTTATTTACAGATCTACACCTGATAAATTAATGGAAAGGATAGAAGTGGAATTTTTTTTTTATTAATTTCAAACTCAATTAGAAATATTTAAATGATCTTCAAATTTCATTACATTAAAAACTAACAAGATGATTATTTAAAATTTTAATCGGTGTCTTCAATGGCAAGAGATATTAATGAAATTAAATTTTGGTAATATTCACTAGAATAAAAGCTTTTTGGGCACCAGAAAACAGGGTATTTTTAGTAAAAATAAACTATAATCCTCAAATTGATGGTGATTAAAAAAATTCAGCGCTTCCAGCTTTTTTTAAATGATTTGTTTGGATTTTTTTCTAATAGCAAGTAGTATAATCTGAAATTTGGTGATCTTAAGCAATCTAAAGTGAAAATTTAATCTACAAAATATGTATGAGTTGACAAATCGTTAACAGCTAGGTCTAAAAAATGTGCGATTGTTGAGCAAATTGCGATTTATTTGCATAATTTATAAAGGTTTTTTTAGTCTACCATTTGCAAAAAATTGAAAACACCTAACATGATTTGCTATTTATTTGCGCACATCCTGACAAATTGGCCAAAAATTTGATTGCCTATATTTCTCGCTGATTTTCTTATCATAAACAGCATTTGAGCCAATTTTACTGATATTAAAAACTTATAATTAATTTACTCTAATTAATTTATTTCACTTCCATTGTTTTGCAGGTAGCATAAATTTTAGAGCTTTGATTTGCATTATTTAAAATGAAGGAGTGGAATTAAAAAAGAAGTTATCATAATTTTTGAGGCTTACTTTTACACATTCGACCAAAATCAGTATCTGCAAATTGGTCGTGGAGTTCCCTATTTATAAGAACCATTTAAGGCGGCCGATTACACTACATTTTACTCTTTTATGGGTCAAACGGACACAATCTGCGCATCTGGCGTGGAGAGCAAAACGCTGTTTTGCGCGCGAGGTCACGCGAATACAAGCTGCTTTGTTTTCATTTATCTTGATGCTATCGAAAGACCACCTCTTTTAATCCCGTAGAAAATCTTATTAGCCACCCTGAAGGTATAAAAAATCTCCTTCTTGATAAATTCATCGGCTGCACCGAAAGCGTTCTACATCACGCGATCCCCGTTTGCAAATCTCCGTCGCGAATTTCTTCTCTTTCCTTTTTATACGCCATAAAAAAATACGGTGCAGCACGACGGCGGCGCTTGCGTTTGTGTAGTTTCCTTGTTGTGTGCCGTGCTATAAAAATTCCTCGCAGGCATGCTCATTTATTAATGTGATTATTACCGCTTTGAATAAACGCGCAACAATTTTATGGCGCCACACTCTCTCCGTCGGCAATAATTTTCCCTCTTTGCATTTCTCTCCCTTTAAGTAATAATTGCACTCTCGCATGCACACGTCCGCGTTGTGCGACCGATTTTGTAAAACAAACACGCCAACAACTTGAACAATTATGTTAATTTTGTTGGAAAATTTTACGATTTTCTAAATTTGAAATTTGGGCAGTTTCATTCGTTTTCCGATCAGTGGTTTTCTGAATCAACGTAAAATTTATTTTGAAAAATAGAAAAATATCATCTTCAAAGATTTGATACTTTCATTTTAATGTGAATATCATATTCTAAAAATCATTTTTTTTTAATTTCGTGTAAAATTGTATGTATGAACGATTAGTTTCTGTCAGTTTTAATTATAATGACAAATAATATTAAAAGTCTCTTAAATTTATATAACAGCTTTCTTAATTTGACTGTTTCCAACTTAATTTTTCCCTGACTTTCTGTTTGAGTGTAACCATTTTTCAAAAATGGCATTTTTTTTCATTTTCAATAAAATGTCATTTTTTATTCTCAAATGTTATGCTACATAAGTTCCATATTAAGTCGCGTTTTAAAGAAAAAACTTTAAAACAACTAAAATATATTTTTTTTTTATAAATTTCATCTTTGCTTCAAAATTTACGATAAAAACATGTCAATGATTTTCAATGGATTCAAAGATGGCGTTTGTTTCATTAAAAAATTTCATTTTGTTTGAAATTTCTGATGAAATTTGTAACATCAATGGTCAGAAAGTAAGTTCTGCGTTGTGAAAATAGGATTCCCTTCAAATCAAATATAATATAAACGATAAAAACTTTCACATAATATAAAAGAAGGAAATTTAGCACCAAATATTTAAATCAGGATGATTCCATTCACGTAATGAATGTCAGAGCAAATTTAAAAAATCCAAAGCCTCTAAAGGAATATTTTCAAATTAACTCATCTATAGTTGCTACGATGGCATATTTAGAACCGCATTTTCGAATACAGTAATTCTAGCGAAATTTAAATATAATTCAGTAATTCCAACCATACTTGGCAGCTACTTATCTTTATATTTGATTTCAAACGATTAAAAGTTACAATAGCAATTATAAGTAATTAACAAAAAAAGCAAACATACTTATTTTAAATATTTTTTTAACGGCTAACTTAAAATTTGGGCAAAGGGTGTGAAATCATAAAGAATCGCACTTAAAAAATATAATAAGTTAAATTATAATTTAATATTATTCTGCATTTGAAGATTTTGGAGCATAAATTTGGTATGAAAATCATAAAAATCGTGCAGGATAATTTGCATTGTATTTTTAAAAAGAAATTCTTTTTGAAAAGTGTCGGAAAGTCTAAAGAGTTGTTGAACTCTTTTATACGTGTACAACGGTTGACGGAAATTCGCAACACGAGGAGTTATTCATTCAGTGGCGAAATCCGCCTGCGGTGGTGGCATGACATGTCGCTCTTTCTCGCCGTGACACAAACAAAACAAACTTAAAAGGCGCAAAACGGCTCGGAAAGCAAACAGGGCGAATTCCCTACGCAGCCGCGCCGCCGCCGGCAAACAAATAAATAAAGGGGTAAATAGGTTGACTCTGATTACCTGCATCCATGACTGCGTCGTGGCCGTGGATCTTGACGGCCTCGAGGTAGAGAACTCCGTAGGAGAATTGCAAGCCGGTGGTGAAGACGTGCACGAGGAAGCCACACGCGCACACAATCCACCCCCAGCCGCCCTCGGGGTAGTAGTGTTGTCTTATGGTGGCGGTGTTCACGTCGTGCCTCCTTAATGCGGGCACCGTTTTGTGTAACGAGTTCATATCGCGCTCGTTTAGGACCTGCGAAGGCAAACACAATGTGTATCAAGCAAGAGGGAAATTCTCTCTGCACGCCTATAAAGCTAAGCTGCTCCGGGCACGAAGCCCTCGGCAAACGCACCACCCGGTGCTGGCGAATTTCGGCAACAATTGAGCCTGCTTATAATGGGCACAGATATTACAGAGAGCCGTGGAATTTCTTGCTTTGATCCACAAGCTAATTTTTGTAGCTAAATTTGATTGATTTTAAGCCATATTATCAAAATTATTTAATAATTTTTTTGCAAGCCCTACTACTATAGTTATTGTTGTTGTTTTTGTCCAAATTGTTACAATGTAATGTGAACATTTGGAATTATAACAATCTGGACAAATAATAACTATTTGCAATATTTTTAAATTTATTATCACACAGGTTTCACTTACAGTAAATTTATTGATATACATAAAGCAAGCTTGTTGGAATTAATTTGTCTATAATGATAGGACTGTTCAGAGAATAGTTTTTAATTAAAAAGCTAATTATGAAAGTTTTTTTCAATGAAAATTTTATACATTTTCTTTTATTCACAATCCAAGTCCTTTTTTTCTTGACCCATTGGGAAACTAACTAATTTCTTTAGAATAATTTGGTTGTAAATAAGGAGTTTAGTTCTTGCAATTTGAAATAATTAAACCTATAACCTATAATTTGTTTAAAATGTTTGAAGAGATCTTTTAGAGATTATGACTGATTTTTTAATTTAAGCTCTTCTCAATCAATTGCCTTTGGAAATATATTTTATTTATTTTTATTTTTTTTATCATTCAATAATTGTGAATATTAATTATTCAATAATTGCCATTAAAAATTTGAAACATAGCCTGTAAGTTGCCAAAACACCCCATGTAATTTGATTGTTCATTCTTTACCATGTCCCCAGATGGCTGCATGTAGTACTATATATTTTTGTTAAGTTATTGCAAAATTAAATAATAATCGCAATTTAAAATAACTATAAAGATTTTAAAACGTATATTAATATTAAAATCATGTAAATAAATTAAAATGTTATTTAGTTTTATAATAAATTGTATTTAATTTATTTGTATGAAATTTAATAAATAAAAAAAAAAAATATAAAATATAGTGTAGGAAGTGAAAATTTACCTGAATGGAGTCATCAGTGCCACCACAAGCGTCAGCGTAGGCACCGCCACCCCAAAATCCACCGCCGTTGCCTCCACCTCCGTAATCTTGATCGTCCTCCTCACAGTAGCGCTCATGAGCCCTGGAGTCTGTGGACAAAAAAGTGTGTCCTTTAAATTTTATTTTATATTTTTTAAGATTTTTTTTTAATTGTAAATCGCGTGCTGAACAAAAGCAGCGATAAAACGTGGTTTAATTTTTTCCAAAGTAAGTCATTAAACTTATCAGGAGACTTTTCAAAATTTACTGCCCGCTCAACCAAATGCAAATTATGTTCCCGTTGAAATTTCACGTCAAAATTAAAGTCACGAAAGCCTCTGATTTGAATCTTTTCAGCACACTGAGCTATAGCAAATAAAAGCTCAGCGAGAGTAAAAATTGACCCCTACACCCATACATAGCAAAATATTTTACGCCTGCTCTTGTTGTGTGATGTGGGTTCGGTGTTGTTTTTGTCTGGCGAATTCAAAAAGCAGCTTGTGTACGTAGAGTGTAAAATGTGCGAGAAATAAAACTATATGAAAAAAAAAGCATCTGGGGCGCAGCACGCGCGCTGAAAATGAACTTGCGATGTGGCCGGTGGAGCAAGCAGAGGCGAGAGTGTTGCAAAAAGTGGCCTTTTTCACTTTGGCTTGCGAGAGGCGCCCATCTGAACGCACCTTCTCCCTTACACAATAAAAAAGCGAAATAAAAACGGCGTTAAGATTCGTGCAAAATAAGACCAAACCACCAGCAGACAGAAATAAAAACTTGCAAGGCGTCGTAAAAATTTGAAATAAAGGCCGAGAAGCAACCTCTGTCATGCTGATGTTTATTTTATTTGTAGTACAATTTAAATCATTTGGGGGTGCTTCAAATTTTAGTCAATTCACCATTAAATCGAATAGCATTGGTTCTTATCTTAGAATGATCGAATATTTTCAATCATTAAGATATGTTGTACTAGATGCAAAATAAAAAATATTGGCGTTGGAAAAATCAAAATTGATTCAGCGTGGGGCTGTAGTCAGGCGATCAAAGATTTTTGTAAAGTAGGCAACCGAAGCCAATTTTTTGAGCTTTTACAGGATCTTTGATCGCCTGACTACAGCCCCACGCTGAACCAGTTTTGATTTTTCCAACGCTAATATTTTTATTTTGCATCTAGTACAACATAATATCTTAGGATTGAAAAGATTCAATCATTCTAAGATAAGGCTGCCATAAGAACCAATGTTATTCGATTTCTCAAATGTTGAATTAGCTATAAAAAGCATTAATATTATATTATAATAAGTAATTGATAGATAAATTTAAATTCCAAATATGGATTATACTTTAAAGATTTAAATGGACTTTTTAGTTAACATTTATAACAACTCATTGAATTTATTATTATTATTTAAACAAATTTCAACCCACGACTTAATATTATTCGCATTATCAGAATTATTTTTTAATTAAAAAAGAAGGTAAAAAACAATAAAGTCAAACTCCAATTCTGTCAGACGAATTAACCTTTCTATTTCAGCCTTAGGGTTTTGAAACCCTATTTCGGATATCCGACTTCGTAAATTTTTACCATTTTTTTTAAGCTTAAGTGAACTCTGTGTCTCCTTTGGGTATAATTTAATTACACACACGTGGGCGCACACCTCACGCACCCGAGGTGTGACACTTTGGTGTCACTGATGATGTAGCGATTATTGCTTTCGGCTGACACACGTCGTCCTGCAGCGCCCTTTGTTGCCGCGCGAGGAATTTTTTTTCGCTTTATCCAATTTTGGCATCAGACAGGCGCAATTACCGTCACACGCGGCGGCACCGAAATGACATTTTCTTGTTTCCGCACGTGAAAAATGGTGCGATCGAGTTTCCCCAAGTGCAGAGCTGCCGAGATCGAGTCTCTACTTTTTTGCTTACAGCTGATGTCTCTGCTCGTAAATACAATAAAAATTTCCTCGTAACCAAGCGAGCTTACAAATATAATGAGATCAACGTACACACAGGCCATAAAAATATCATTATTTGAAGTTAATTACTGAGTGCAACTGCTACTTATTTTCATCGCAAACTCCAACCCACGCAACTTGCTTAAAATGTATTAGTTTTTATTTTGAAATCAGTTTGACTCTTTTGCTCTGTAGATTGGTTAAGTTAGTTATGGCGAGCATGTTTGTGTTTTTCGTGTATCAAACAGCAAACCCACTTTAAGAATATTGTATTACGGATATCATAATTTATTATAACGAAAAACAAATGTTTTTGCAATAATTTGTTGTGTTCATTAATAACTTTAATACTGAATAAAGTCAATTTAAAATTTTAATATCTTTATGAAAGGAATATTATTTCGGCAAACGTAAAATTATCTCAAAACTAGTCAATTATCTTATGCTACAATGAGATAACAATTATTAATTAATGTTATGTGGTTTAAAAAAAAACTAAGAATATATTTTTAATATGAATTTCAATTTCCTTCCATAATTTTGATTATTTTCTTTAATCAATTATTTGATTTTGTATTTAATTTTTATTATTAATAGTTGAATTTATTTTTTTAACACTTGAAAAATTCAAAAAAGTTTAAAATAATTTTTAAAGCTATATATTACTACATAAAATTATATATGTTCAAAATGTTTTGTGAATTGGAAAATAATGAAATAAATAATATGAATATTCTGCTTCTCTATTCTGGAGTTTATATTATGAAATAACAATAAGTAATAATGTAGCAAAAGTTAATGAAACATGTTTTTATATTTAAAAGGCAGAGACTTGAATATGTTTAATAAAAAGATCCATACAGAATGTGTAGCAAAATTAGCATTTGTTTCAATTTTCAAAATAGAAAATAAACACTCATATATATGATGTACATGACGTGTCTTTTGTTACGAAATTATTTGCCGCAAATCGCCTGCTAATGGCCTATTGAATGGACATTAATAACCAAGGGGGCTCCCGCTGTTAATCTCATGCTTGAGCTCTCCAGGGAGCCGTTTCTTCGTTGACCATCACGAGATCATTAGGCAGGCCGAAAGCAATAGGGCATAAGTGATTTTCGCCAACGCGGCGGCGCCTTTGTCCTCGAATTAACATTAAAGACCAAAAATTTAATTTAAAATTCGGCAAAACCGTTTTTAGTTTTTACCCAAGCGACGTGCAGCGAATGAATGAATATTGGCAAAACGTGTGTGAATTTCACACACCCGGCGTGCAGACTGAAATTAATTCCACTCCCGAGGGTGTACGTCTGTCCGACACTTTATTTATTTCCATCTGGGGACGCCGGTGCTGAAAGTGAGACTCGGCGCAATAACACGCCAGGGCTGGATATGGCGACAATTAATTCTTAATGCGTCGCTCACGGCGAGTGTTCGTACGCAGGGTGTGTACAATTCTCTGTACAACGGGCCGCATCGCAATCCCGGACGAAACTGCCGATGGCCCCGATTATATAAATAATACAAAATGTTTGAATATCTGCAGCGGCAATCAAATAATACGGCCACGGTGTACTGGCGAGGGACCCCGTGTAAATATTTACGGCTTTTTAATGCCCCGACTCTTTAGTGATTTATGCGCCAAATTCAATAGTGATGTTCGGCGCTTTGGAAAAGGAAAAATGCCAGGGCGGAGTTTTATTTGCACAGAACAAAAGGTATTCTTTTTATAGAGACGGTTTTTTAACTTTGATGAATAGCTTGATGATTTAATTTAGAAAACATTTCTTGTTAAAGGGCCTCTTCGGTAATGATTTTTATTCCAACAAATTTGAAAAAAAAAAATCACTTAAAATAGTGGAAAATAAAAGATCAGAAAATTGAATTTCCTAATGATGAAACTGTCAAAAAGGTTCCAATTTGAAGTAAAAAAAAAATATTTGAAATAATTTGAGTCCTGATTCGTCAAAATAACACTTTCAAGAATAACTTTAAACACTTCTCTAAAGGTTTTTATTCTTTTAGGCGGGACAAATCCAATCTTTGATTTACTTTGAGGCCTTAAGAGTGCAAATTCTTAAATTTATATCAAATAATAGTAAAGTGTGCTTTTAAATCAGACGAAAAAATTATTTTTGAAGAGAGGCTTAAATAAAATTGCAAAGGGATTTTTTTATTTACGTCTCAATTCGCACAAAAGAGCAAAATGCCCATGTATGGTCGGTCGCTCTTATAAATTCTTAAATTGGCTGCTGGCTAATGTAGCGTTACTAAACGCGCCGCACACAGCATTTTTGGCTTCTCTGTTACTCGATAATGAAGCTGCCGAAGGTATAATAAAAACCTCCACAAACGAGAGAGCGATGCCTGCGTGCGCCAACCAGCAACACCATCGCACATAGAGACGGTGCTCCAATATTATTTTGCGCTGCGGAGGAGAGATAGCTGCGGTCGAGAGCTAATGAGACGAGAGAAAGAGCGGATTTCATCGGCTTTTGAATGATTAAATTCCAGGCGGCGCCGCTCGTCAGTTGCGATCCTTATGGTCATACTGAAGTGAAAATGTGGCGAATTTACTCAATGTTGAAAACCATCTGCCACCTGCGTTTTAACCAAAATTACAAAGTAAATTTCTTTTATTCAAAAAATAAAAAAATGCAACTGTTTTAAAAAAAATTTCTCATCATAACAAATTTTGTTCACTTGGTGTTTTTTCATTTTGTTCATCCTTCACAAATTAATGTATCAATAAAAGCATATATGAGATGGCCACACTAACTTTTGATTAATTTAATTCAAGTAATTAATAAGCACCAGCCGATAATTTCTTCGGAAATTGGCTGGACTTGTAATAAAAATTAATATGTATCCTTCCAATAAAAAAAAAATAATAAAAAAGTACATGAGAGCCACTTCAGTCTAATTATGCTGCTTTTTATGTCAGAGAGGAGAATTATTCTATAGTAATATAAAAAAAAATATTATTTAAAAAAGATACACAAATAACTTAAGTTGGATCTTCAATTATTAATTTTTTTGTTCAATTCATATCACCTCTTTACAGACCTTTTGGCAAAACTTTTATAAATTTAGATGGAAAATTAAACCGAATTAAACAACAGCTGCATTCTTTGGATTAATTTTTGTGTGATAAGTGA